GCCCTAAAAACTGGCCCCGGGGTGCGATTGGGAGAAGTTATTTATAAGGACAAGGAAAGAAGGAGGAGGAGGAGGAAGAGGAGGAGGACGAGGAGGAATAGGAGGAGGAGGAAGAGGATGATGATGCTGCTGCTGATGATGATGGTGATGATGATGATGCTGATGCGCATGCTGATGATGATGATGATGATGGTGGTGATGATGCTGCTGATGATGCTGATGATGATGCTGATGCTGATGATGATGCTGCTGCTGATGATGATGATGATGCTGATGATGATGATGACGACGACGATGATGATGATGATGAGGATGATGGTGGTGGTGATGATGCTGCTGATGATGATACTGATGATGATGATGATGATGCTGATGATTATGATGATGGTGATGCTGCTGCTGCTGATGATGATGGGGATGATGATGATGATGCTGATGATGATTGATGATGATGATGCTGATGATGATGATGATGCTGATGATGCTGATGATGATGATGATGATGATGATGATGCTGATGCTGATGATGATGATGATGATGATGCTGATGCTGATGCTGCTGATGATGATGATGATGTGATGATGCTGATGATGATGATGATGATGATGATGATGATGATGATGATGATGATGATGATGATGATGATGATGATGGTGATGATGATGATGAGGATGAGGAGGATGAGGAGGAGGAGGAGGAGGAGAGGAGGAGGTGAGGAGGAGGAGGAGGAGGAGGAAGAGGGCCTCTTGGGACTCTCTGAGGGCTTCTTGGGGGCCTTTGAGGGCCTCTGGGGGCCTCTAAGGTGCCTCTTGTCCTTCGGAGGTCGCCTTGGGGGCCTCATTGGGCTGTCTCTGAGCCCTCTTGTGACGTTGCAGGGCTGCCTTGGAGGTCTGGGGTCGTCTTGTGGCCGTCTTGGAGCCAGTTTGGGAGTCTCTTGGGCCGTCTTGGGGCCGTCTTGGCCCGTCTTGGGGCCCTCTTGGGGGCTTCAGGGCCGCTATCTTGGAGCTCTAGGGCCGACTTCGATTGCCAGAAGCCCGACAAGGCGAGAGCGAGAATACCCTTCATCACCATTAGGAACTCAATGATTTTGGTCTCGTCGGGCCATCCTGGAGGGCCTCTTGGAGCCCTCTTGGGCCGCGGGGACCTCTTGGGCCGTCTTGAGGCCAGTGGGGTCGATGAACCATCTTGGTCATCTTGAAGTGACCTTGGAGTCATCTTGTAGCCATTTTGGAGCCACCTTGCGCGGGAAAGTCAACGGACACTGATCCGCATGGGTGGCCAGCGGGTTGATCCGAAGGCTACTGGGAACCTTGTGGAAACGGCCGAACAGTCTACCCGAAAATCAAGCACGCCAAGCACCCTTTTGCAAGCAACAGGGGAAGGCGGATCAAAGACGCTTACGGCGAATCACAGCCGCCCCTTGCTTTTTGTACTCGCCCATGTGACCGAGCGTTGTGGCAAGAGGTTTGCCACGCTATCGGACCATGTTTTCCCAAGCCGTTGTGGAAACCCTTCGGGGAACATTTGGGGGAGGACGGAGGGGAAGATCAGGAGGAGGAGGCGGAGAGGAGGAGGAGGAGGAGGAGGAGGAAGAGGAGGAGGAGGAGGAGGAGGAGGAGGAGGAGGAGGAGGAGGAGGAGGAGGAGGAGGAGGAGGAGGAGGAGGAGGAGGAGGAGGAGGAGGAGGAGGAGGAGGAGGAGGGAGGAGGAGAGGAGGAGGAGGAGGAGGAGGAGGAGGAGGGAGAGAGAAGAGAAGAAAGAAGAAGGACGAAGAGGAGGAGGAGGAGGAGAGGAGGAGGAGGAGGAGGATGAGGAGGAGAGAGGAGGAGGAGGAGGAGGAGGAGGAGGAGGAGAGGAGGAGGAGGAGGAGGAGGAGGAGGGGGCATCTTGGGAGCCTCTGAGGGCACTCTTGGGGCCTCCTGGAAGCTTCCTGGGAGCCTATTGGGGCATCTTGGGGGCCTCCTTGGGCCTCTTGGGGGCCTTTGGGGGCTTCTCGGGTGCCTTTTTGTTTGTCTCAGGGCGTTCCTGGCCCGTCTGGCGCCGTCGGAAGCCGTCTTGGGGGCCTCTCTGGGCCAACTTGGGGCCGAGTTGGGGTGTTCCAGGGCCGTCTTGGAGGCCATCTTGGGCGTCTGGTAGGCCTCTTGGGCCGTCTTGGGGCCCTTTTGGGGTTGTCCCGTTCTGGGGCCATCTTGGAGGCCTCTTTGGCGATCTTTGGGCGATCTTCGGGGACTCTTGGGCCGTCTAGGGCCGTCGGAGGGCTGAAAAGAAACAACTGCTACAATCCTCCAAAACCTAAGGACAATTCATGATTTTGGCCTCTTCGATCCTTCCTGGAGGCCCTCTTGGGGGCCTCTTGGGCCGTCTTGAAGGCCTCTTGGGGGCCTCTTGTGGACCTTTTGGGCTGTCATAGGCCATCTTGTCTTGGGCCGTCTTGAGTGCATCTTGGGCTATCTTGGGCTCTCTTGGGGCCGTCTTGGCCGTCTTGGAAGCATCTTGGCCGTCATGGAGGCCATATTGAGGCAATCTTGAAGCCGACGAGAGGGGCACCCTGGCGCAATGGGCCCAAGCCCCAGGGGGAGTTCTTTGGAAAAGAATTGAAGCCAAGCTGTACAGGGTTCAGCACGCCAGGCACCCCTGTAATAAATCAACAGGGGGCGGCGGATCTGGTTGCCTTCGGCCCATCCTGCTACATTTGCCTGGGCTGTGGACCATAGGAATCTTAGATGCTTCTTTGGGCCTCAAGGGGGGCCTCTAGGGGGGCCTCTTGGGGGCCTCTTGGAGGCCTCTTGGGGGCCTCTTGGAGGCCTCTTTGGGGCCTCTTTGGGGTCTCCTGGAGGCCCCTTGGGGGCTCCTTGAGGTCCCTTCTCGGGGGCCTTTTGGGGGCCTCCTCGCTGCCATCTAGGCCATCTTGGGGTTCAGAGCTCCAAGTGTCAGTTCGGATTCCCCCTCTTGGGCCCGTCTTCAGGCCTTCTTTGGGGCCTCTTGGGTTTCTCTTTGAGCTTGGAAGCTGTCTTGGAAAAATCTTTGGGGCCTCTTGGGCCGTAGCGGACGCTCAAGACTGAAAAGGCGATAATGTTCAAATCATGCAAGAATTCATCGGTTTTGGCCTTTGGGACGGCCCCTGGAGCTTCCGAAACGGTCCAAGAGGCCCCAAATGAGAGCTCCCGGATGGGCTCTGGGACCATCTTGGGCCACTTTTGAAGTGCGGAATCCCAGCTGAGTGCCCGAGGCGTCTGAAAAAGTCACGCCAGCCGCCCCGGTAGTGCCCAAGCGCAAGGTCCCGAGATGGACCAGGAGTCCCCCAAGAAAGCCCAGCCCAAGAGACCCCCCAGAGGGTCCCAAGACGCGCTACGACGACCCAGAAGGGCGCAAGAGGTTTCCACTATGCCCCAAGATTCCCCCTAAGAGGCCCCCGATATGCTCCCAACACGGCCCCGAAGTTCCCTCATTCAGTTTTCAGACAGTTCAAGAATGTCTAATAGCGGTTGGGAAGGCCCTTGGGCTGGCCAATTCGCTCCAAGAAGGGTAATGCGCACAGGGACGCGTGCAACACCGCATACCGTTTCGCCAGACATAGTTTTCAGACGGGATCTTTGCCTCCTGGAGCCTAGGTCCAGCGCGTTTTATGTATAGTTTCGCTATTGGGAATGAGAGCCCGTTTTTCAGCAATCGTTTAAACTAAGGAGTGTGAGTTCGGAAGCGAGAGTCGATTTACGAGGTTGTGGTGCTGTGGTGGGTACCAGCCGCATTTTTATCTATCGTGGCTTTGAGCCGGAAGTCAACATATCTGTAGTTTGGATGTTTGCCGTTGGAACGAGTAGCAGTTTCATGTTGTTAGTATTTGTGACCCTGGGACGTACAGTTCGTAGTGTCCTGTGCGAAATCATGACCTTGGGAGCGATGCCCCTTCGCCTTTACATGGCATCATGGCCCTGGGATTCTGGTGCCTCGGGCTATGAACCACCCCGCGGTCTCGGATCTCGTGCTGGTTCCGGGGAGCCCGTGCTGAAGATTTGCGGAGGGGTGGGCGGGGCAGACCACCGCACGCATCCTCCTGCAGACGTTGTCTCAGCAGCATACGCGTGAACCCATTCTGGCCCAGTGCCCGCGGAGGGCCGCGACACTTCCTTCGCTGGGCTACGAGCACCGGCGAGTTCCGTTTTAAAGTCAGCATCCGTTTGTTTCCATATCTAACCGGCCTCGAGCTGATCCCCATCCCTAAGATGGACGAGCCCACATGCGACGACACTCTCAGGGATGCGCCCACAGACGCCGAGATCCTTGAAAGGTCGGCATCGAGACAAGCTGGAGCTCATCAGAGGGATAGGGATGTGCTCCAGGCCGGTCAACCTCAGCCCTTGACGCCATGCTCCGCCCCTCCCGCGCTGCGGGGCTGCTGCTCCTGCAGCTCGTGCTGCCCGCGCGCGCCTTGATGCAGAGCAAGGCTCACCACCCACCAGACCACTCCAACCCAACCCGAAGGCCTCATTTTGCCCTCCATTTCCAGTGTGTGTGGGGGGGGTCGGGGAACATGGATAAAGCACATACAGTCGGGGCCCTGAAGAAGGAACCCTTTTCGTTGGGGAGGGGCTCCGCGTTCCTTAAGTGTTTCACAGCTTGCCTCAGGTTTTCCTTATGTTTTCGATATGAAATCGAAGTTGAACTTATGGAAAAAGGGGGCCTCGTTCCTTATTTAGGGCTCCTTTGGTCAACGCCCCGACTGTATGGAACTCGTGCCTCCCCCACCCGAAATGTGTATCTTCGGGTTGGGCTGGGGCGGCCTGGTAGGTCGCGGAGGAGGAGGAGGAGGAGGAGGAGGAGGAGGAGGAGGAGGAGGAGGAGGGAGGAGGAGGAGGAGGAGGGAGGAGAGAGGAGGACCCGAAAGGCCGCGGCCGCGGGCCTGGACGCCGCCGCCGCCCCGCAGGCCCGCCGCGGCCCCGCGGCGCCCGGCCCCGCGGAGCAGAGCGAGAGCGCGCGCCTGCGGCTGCTGCTGCAGCGGGCCGCGGCGGGCCTGCGGGCGGAGGCCGCCGAGCAGCGGGGGGGCGCGGAGCGCGGGGCGGCCGCCGAGGATCGACTCCTCGACTCCTCACTCCTCACTCCTCCTCCTCCTCCTCCTCCTCCTCCTCCTCCTCCTCCTCCTCCTCCTCCTCCTATGTTTGGTTTCTGGGCCATACCTCGGGTCTCGGGCGGCCGTTCGAGGAGCACTGGATCCCCAGGAGGCCAGCTCGAAATGCTCATACAGCTCTTCATGCCTCCACGTTAGGAGCTTCATGAGCTTCGTGCCTCCACATGTGCTCGCGGGTTTCAATATGCTTCAGGAGGGGAGTCGACGAAACATTGGGATAAGAGTATGCTGTTATTCTTATGTTGATAGAGTTGTTCGTCACGCCTGGGCGGAGCGGGGGGCGGCCGCCGAGGATCGGAGAAGACAGAAGCCGGCATGGGCACAGGCTGCAGAGCTCGGGGCTCCAGAGGCGGGGGGTCCGTGCAGCAAACGGGGCTCCGCCGCCTCCTCCTCCTCCTCCTCCTCCTCCTCCTCCTCCTCCTCCTCCTCCTCCTCCTCCTCCTCCTCCTCCTCCTCCTCCTCCTCCTCCTCCTCCTCCTCCTCCTCCTCCTCCCCCTCCTCCTCCTCCTCGCGCCCGCGCCTCGCATCCTCCTCGGAGCGCCGGGCCAGGGCCGCACTGGCCCGGGCTTGGGCGCAGGCTCCTGCAGGCTCCTGCAGGAGCTTGCGGGATCCTGCAGGGGGCCTGGCTGCCCCGGGTTTGGATCCGCCCGGGTCGGGCGATCCACGAAGCGCTCCGCGCGGACTTCTTCGATCGGCGCCTGGGCCCCCGTCGGCGGCGCCTCCGGCGCCGCCCCCTACCGCGCGCTCTCCGCGCGCCACGGGAGGGGAGGGGGCAGCGCAGGTCCGAGAAGCCTGCGCGGGCCCCCGAGAGCTCGTGGGCTCTGCTGCCGGGCCCGGACCGAAACGCTGTCTTGCTGGACTTCGGCCGTGTAGTGTTCGTCGTGCTGGCAGGGAGGTGCATGGGAAAACAGGCAGAGCAAGACGAGCAGCAAAGCGATAACCTAACGACAAACAGCGTTTAGGTCCAGCCCTGGGCCCTGCCGTTCTTCGTTCCTCCAGCTGGGGGGGGCGCCGAGCAGCTGGGCGCGGAGGGCATCCCGGAGCGGCGACGCGCAAGAGTGCCCCTTCGCCGGGGAGGCCGATGCTGCGGGCCCACGGGGAGTCCCGCGATCGCGGAGGGCGATCGCGACAGCAGGGTTGAGTCGGGCGCGTCCCTCCACAGGAGGAAGGTTCCCAACTGGTCAAAAAACAGCCAGGGGAAGATTTGCTTCTCCTATGTTTGATGATTTTTGGGCTACTTGTTATTTTTCGTCCAAGATCCGCCTGCAGGAGGACTCGCCCGACCTAACAGCAGGGGCCTGCGCGCGCGGGTTGGCCCCCCAGCGCCCATCTGGAGCCGCGCGAGGGGGAGGCCACTCTTCTCTTCGGGCCACTCTTCCCTGAGATCCGACGTCTGGAAGAATGGCAGGGTCGTATCAATTTTTTGCCGGAGCCCTGGGCCCCATCTCGCCGCATCATTTTTCAAGCCGGATCGATATGTGAGGGCCCCGGGCCCCCAAACGGGGCGCAAGCGCCCGTTGTGAGAGAAATGGCAGCGCCAGGATCTCTGGGTTGCGTGTAGCCGATGGGAGGAGCTGGATGCGGCGGAGGAGGCCGCCGAGCCACAGGAGCAGGAGCAGGCAGAGACGGACGAGGAGGCACAGGAGGTCCAGGAGGCCATCGAGAGGGTGGGCCAGCTGCAGGGTCAGCTGAAGGCGCTCATGGACAAGGTCGCCTCCAGGGTCGCGGAGGGGAAGGCCGCCCAACAGCAGGCTGCGGATCTCAGGGTGGCCACGGAGGCTGCCGATCAGAAGGCCTCGGACGAGGTCTTCCAGCAGCCCGTGGTCGCGGAGGCGGAGGCCGCGGATGAGATCGTCCAGCAGCCGGCGGTCGCGGGGGAGGAGGATGCGAAGGCCACCGATCAGAGTGTTGCGGATGATGACGCGCAGAAGCCAGCGGTCGCGGAGACCGAGGAGGTTTTCGAGCAGCATGCTGCGGACGAAGGCGTTCAGCAGCTAATGTTTGCAGACAAGAGGGCCGAGGCGACCGAGCAGCAGGCCGCAGATGAGGCCGTTCAGGTAGAGGCCGCGGATAAGACGGTCGAGCAGGCCACGCAACACGAGCACGGTATCGACTTCGACGCTATGCTCAGTATGCTCAAGGATATCCAGAGCCAGGTTCAAGATCTCAAGGAGAGCACCGCTGAGCAGAAGGCCGCGGAGCAGGAAGCTGCCGAGTCGCAGCTGCTTTCCTTTCGGACGGCCGCGTATCAGAACAAGACGGCCGCGTATCAGAAGGCTTCGGGATCAGAGAGTTGGATGCTCAACTCACTAGCGTTTCAGCAGATTTCCCCATGCCCAGTCGGACTCGCCCGCTCTTTCGGACAGCCTACACTATGCAAATGGTTGTGCAAGCTTTTCGCATACCCGCTCGGATTTAAACACCCGCTCCTCTCTTCCCCTGCCTTAGGGGCTGCACGAAAAACACGTTGCAGGTAAGAAAGATATATACCCCCAAGGGCGTACGATCGAAGACGAAAAGGGCGGGTACCGAGGGTTTGGGATACACGTGTTGAATGACCCGCGAGAAGATAAGAGCGAACATTCTGAAACTGATTCTTGTTGTCGTCAACGTCGTTGTCGTCGTCGTCGTCGTCGTCGTCGTCGTCGTCGTCGTGTTGTTGTTGTTGTTGTTGTTGTTGTTGTTGTTGTTGTTGTTGTTGTTGTCGCTGCTGCTGCTGCTGCTGCTGTTGAATTCTCATTTCTGAAGAATAATTATTGTTGATCCCCCCACCGGTGCGTACTGTTATTTCTCACTCAAAGTGTGCCCCTCGACGCTCGCACCTTGTTTTTGATAGGGAAAGTCTTCCTGGTCAAACTGGCCCCCTGGCCCCCGGGTTACAACAACAACGGCTCCCGCTTTAGACTTCCTTACAATTTAGCCAGGACCCCCGCTCCCGCCCGAGACTTCCTCGCATTTTATTCAGGAATCGCGCTCTCGCTTGGGACTTCCTTACAATTTATTCAGGAATCGTTCTCCCGGCGCTCTGGAGTCGCGCTCTCGCTGGAGATTTGCTTGCAACTTACTGAAGAATGGCCTTGCGTTGGAATTTCTTGCAATTTGCCAAAGCGCCGCGCTCCCGACACCCAGGCACCCAGGAGTCGCGCCCGTTGTGGCCCCATGTGCATGTCCTTCGTGGCCCCGCTGTCGCCATTTGTGTCCCCCTCACTGTCCTACGTGGCCCAGTTGCTACCCTCAGTGGCCCCATAGTTGCCTTCAGTGGCCCCGCATTATCTGCACTTCGTGGCCCCCGCTCGTTCGCGCTCTTCGTGGCCCCATACGCATTCCCTTCGTGTCCCCGCTGTCGCCCTTCGTGGCCTACTTCGTGCCCTTCGTGGCCCTGCTGTCGTTCTCTCTCGCTCTCGCTTTCGCTCGTCGTCGTCGTCGTCGTCGCCGTCGTCTTCGACGTCGTCGTCGTCGTCGTCGTCGTCGTCGTCGTCGTCGTGGTCGGTCCCCTGTCCGTCCCTCTTGGGGTCGGGTCGACGGTCCGCGGCCGCCCCGCCGATCAGCGCTGCCGCTGGCCAGGCCGACGGTCCGCGGCCGCCCCGCCGCTTGCCGGGGCCCGGCCTGCAGGGAAGAAAGGTATACCCCCCAAAAGGGGTTCGATCGAAGACGAAGAGGGCGGGTATCGAGGGTTTGGGAAATATTCGTTATTGGGCACTGGGGTTTATAAGGGCGAACAGTCTTGAAATTATTCTTATTGTTGATGTTGTCGTTGTTGTTGTTGTTGTTGCTGCTGCTGCTGCTGCTGTTGTTGTTGTTGTTGTTGTTGTTGTTGTTGTTGTTGTTGTTGTTGTTGTTGTTGTTGTTGTTGTTGAATGTTAAGTACTAAGCAGTTATTCTTGTCGACCCCTTACAGGCGCCCTGGCGCTCTCGCCGAGGCGCCGGCTACATTTCCATTGAAAATGAGGCTCCCGCTCGAGCGGTTTGGGGGACCGCCAAAACCGGTCCCCCAACAGCAACAACGCTCCCGCTCGAGACTTCCTCCTTTTTTACTCAGGGCTGCTGTTCTTGCTCGCCGCCGAAAGCCGCCGTCCTCACAAAACCAGCGCTACCGCTCGAGAGTTCCTCCCGTTTTACCTTGGACTGGCGCGCTAGTCTTTCTCTCATCGGCGCCGCCCCCAGTAAAAACAACGCTCCCGCTCGAGGCTTCCCCCCTTTTTTAATTCAAGGCGGTGCTCCTGCTCGCCGCCGAAAACCGCCGCCCCGACAAAACCAGCGCTCCCGCCCGAGACTTCCTTCCGTTTTACGGTGGACTGGCGCCCAACTCTCTTTGAATTGGCGCCGCTCCCAGCAAGAACAACGCTCCCGCTCGAGAGTTCTTTTTTTTATTTGGGACGTTGCTGTTCCTCGCCGCCGACGACCCCCGTCCCGACAAAACCACGGCTCCCGCTCGATGTTTTCTCCCTTCTTACTCAAGGCGGTGTTCCTCCTCGCCGCTGAAAACCGCCGCCCCGACAAAACCAGCGCTCCCGCCCGATATTTCCTTCCGTTTTACGCTGGACTGGCGCCCAACTCTTTTTTGAATTGGCGCCGTTCCCAGCAAGAACAACGCTCCCGCTCGAGATTTCCTTTTTTTTCCTTGGGACGTGGCTGTTCCTCGCCGCCGACAGCGCCCGTCCCGACAAAACCACGGCTCCCGCTCGATGTTTCCTCCCTTCTTACTCAAGGCGGTGTTCTTCCTCGCCGCCGAAAGCCGCCGTCCCAACAACACCAGCGTTCCAGCTCGAGACTTCGTTTTGTTTTACGCTGGACTAGCGCCGTATTCTCTTCAGCATTGGCGCCGTTCCCAGCAACAACAGCAGCCCTGCTCGAGACTTCCTCCCTTTCTATTCAGGGCCAGGTCCTTGCCTCACCGCCGACAGTCCCCATCCCCACCAAGGCAATCCTGTCGTTCGATACTTCCTTGTGCTTTCCCCTTCGCTGGGGTTCCACTGGCGGTTTCGCATCGGCGCAGCACGGCGCGGGCATGCGTTTTCGAGGCGGGATAGGTTGGAATTCCTCGGAAGAGGTGTTTGCAAGACCTCATTGGGCGGGAGATCTGGGAATGGGAATAACGGACTCCGCTATAGAACAATAATCCCCCATGATGTGGATGGCTACCATGATGGTCGCATGCTTCGTGTGGAAAAATCGCGCATGAGGGTACCATGATTGTTATCGTTGTTGTTGTTGTAGTTGTAGTTGTAGTTGTAGTTGTAGTTGTAGTTGTAGTTGTTGTTGTTGTTGTTGTTGAACATTATTAATTCTAAATAATAATTATTGTTGGGACCCCTGGTGCACGGCCCCCCTGCGCCGCCTAGGCCGCAGCTACATTTTCATCATTTTCGTGAGGAAGCCTCAGGTAATTCGATGTGATCAAGATCCGGTTGTTTTGTTCCCCCCCGCTTTCCCTTGCAAAAAACACTATAAAATGACATTTCTTGTTCTAATATAATCAAATTTCAAGAATCCCTTGCAAAAAATAAGGTAAAGTGGACATTCGCGCGCGCAAGACGAAATCCTTCCAAAAGCTTAGTGTTCGGAGCGATTTTAACATAAAAACATCAAAAAACCAATGGTTTTTCAACAAAAAAATGTCAAAATCTCATCCCGCGCGCTCTTGCGGATTCGTAGGAAACCCAACACTTTTTAAACATTTCTGTCAAACGGGCTTTTGCGAGCAACTTTTTCGAACTTCTGCGACAACGGTTGCGCACCTGCCAGGGCCATCATCCCTGTCAAATAATACCATGCGGGACACATTCGTTTTTTCTTCGCGCGCGCACGCCGAAATCTCCAAAAACCATTGGGTTCTTAAGAATTTTAGCACCGCGCATCATAAAATCACACGAATCGCACCGTAGGTCCTCGAAAAACACCTGCACGACTTTTCAAAATTTCCACCCGCGCGCGCTGTCCTAACAACCAATGGTTTTCCACATTGTAGTACAGTCGCGCAGCACGTCCGGGGTTCGCACGCCAGTGTAGTAGCCACGGTCGTCCGCACGCCACGAAGTGAAGTGTCCCAACGTCATAGGGCGGGAAGCTGGGTTTGGGTGGTCGCGAAGAGTCGTTTGGATATTTGGTAGAGCTTGTAATGCCCCCCCACGAAGTGGGGGTATTGCCTGGTGTCGTATGAAAACCCTGGCACTGGGGAGAACACCACGCGTTCGGGTAAAATGATTGCTGTTGTTGTTGTTGTTGTTGTTGTTGTTGTTGTTGTTGTTGTTGTTGAACTCTCACTTCTGAAGAATAAGTATGGTTGATCCCCTCTCACTGATGCATACTGTTTTATCTCAATCAAAGTGTGCCCCTCGACGGTCGCACCCTGTTTTTTTTGTCAGGGAAAGTCTTGGTGCTCAAACTGGGCCCCTGGCCCCCCGTATTACAACAAACAACGGCTCCCGCTTGTGACTTCTTCTAACTTTACTCAGGACAACAACGGCTCCCGTCTGTGACTTCCTCGCAATTTAGTCAGGACCCCTGCTCCCATCTGAGACTTCTTCACACATGACTCAGGTACGGCGCTCCCGCTTGAGACTTCCTCGCAATTGAATCAAGACTTCCTCGCAATTTAATCAAGACCCCCGCTCCTGCCAGAGAGCCCTTCACATTTTATTCAGGAATTGCGCTCTCGCCTGTGACTTCCATGCAATTCATTCAGAATTCGCGGTATCGACGCTCAGGAAACACGCTGCGCCAAGGACGCCGTTACAATTTACTTAGTAATCGCGCTGTCGCCATACTCAGGCATCCCGCTTGAATGTCTCGCCCGCCCGACCCGCCCGTCAGGGGATCGCCCGCCCGTCGTGGGCTCCCGCCCGAGACTTCGTTCAGGAACGGCGCTTTCGCTTAGGACTTCCTCGAGCGTTCACGCTCTTACCTTCCTGCTCCTCCTCCCTCTCCCTCCTACCTCCTCCCTCCTCTCCTCCCTTCTCTCTCCTACCTCTCTTCCCTCATCCTTATGCCTCTCTGCCCTATCCCCTCTCCCTCCTCTCCATCCTCCCTTCTCCCTCCCCTCTCCTGCCTCCTCCCTCCATCTTTCTTTCTCTCTCTCACCCCTCTCTCTCTGTCTCTTTCTCTACCTCTCTCATTTGTCTTTCTCCTACTCTCTCTGCCTTTAATCAACCGCCCCCCCCTTCGCTCCTTCTCTCCTGGCGTTTTCCCTCTTCCTTCGTCCTTCCCCCTCCCTTCCTCCCACTCTCCCTCGTTCTCCCCTTCCTCTTTCTGCAGGGCCCACACCAATTCCAATGGCGGGCACATGTACGCCCACGAAGTATGATTGTCCCACCGTTCAGGTCTG